GTTTAAGATAAGCATTCTTTTACTAATATTTACAAGATAATCTAAAACAAATTGCCTACATTATTTTTTCATTAAGTTAAAAGCTTTCATTGGGTTTGATTCTCTGTTTTTGTTGCTGAAAGTGTCTGTTAATTTTCACATTTAATCTGTAAAATATCCATCCGACGGTGTTCTAAAAGACATATAAACTGATCAATAGATGTCAATTTTTTTTCCATAAAAACACTTGTAGCCTGATTGGTATTGTCAACCAATTTAGTTGATTAGCATGATCAGAGGCGTTTCTACTTTTTTCTCCGTAATTTTTACTTCATCTTCATTTTGACAGTGTTCTTTAGAATATAGGCCAATCAGCAAAGTTTACTTTTACTCACGAAATTATATCATGATTATAATGTTTAAATACGCGTCACGTAGCCAGACACCGGAAAAACCCAAACAGACCTCGGCCTTTAGATTTGCAAATCCTGCCGCCACCCCTGTTTGAATTTGAATTATGGTCTAACTCTTTTTATTTTGGGTTACATGCATTTGTATGTAAAATGAAACACTGGTAGCACTTTATTGACTAAGTATTTACTCACTGGCTTCATCAGGTGCAATGAAGTGGTACAGAGATGAGGCAAACATACTGTACAGTTTAAAGAAGCTATGCTATTGTCTATTAACAATGAAAGAAGTACCGTATTAATGATTTGTATATATACGTATATAGGGCTAATATGTAGATTTTTACATGGGAAATTAAATAAATTTCCAAATGTTTGTATAGTCTATCCGTTACATGTCGGTTGACGCTGAGGTTTCCGCAAATCCTCAGGGGCCCATCAAAAAATTCCAATTTTAATTTGAAAGAGGACAATACAGTGGTGATGCCAGGGTATGCTTGGCGAGGGTCCAATGTCCCCGACTGGAGCGCAAGCGGGTGGAGGGACGAGGGACGAAGCCCCCGGAATCTCCGACAATTTAATCATTTAATCGATATTAGTGTAACAACCTGTAACTATAGCATAGAACTTTGTTCTCTCAGATATGTTATGTTTCACTGCGAAAACAAAATGTGTACACTATTGAGTTTTGACACTGAAAGAGGTAATCAACGTGAGGGCTATAATAATAAAAAATCAATATACAGAATTATTAGATATTGGTAGGGATAATAACCACAGCTAATGGCTACAAGCAAATAAGCCTATCATAATGTGTTATAATTCTACATTTCACGTGTGTGATAGTAACCAATAAAACGTCATTTCAGATAATGACATGAGTTGTGATGATACTGTCTTTTTATTTGATACATGAGTATCTCCTCTTCTAATTACAATTAATTCGATATTTGCGTCGTTAATGTATCAATGAATTGCTGTTAAAGTAGATGATATTTCCACCTAATTGACTATTAGGAAGCTGGAAGCCTTAATCAAAAATTCTAGCTGAAATATCTATTAACATTATAATATATATACTCCCGTGGTTCAATAATACTAGGCCTATGCAACAAGTATATGCGTTATTTAAACAGTAATGAACACAAACTCAGCTTATTGGTGTAGTAAGTACTACATAATATTGCTCTTTGTCATTCGGACCGAGGTTCCCCAATATACTCTAGGATCGAGAGCGACAGCGGGAGGGTATAGTGCATTCCCAAAGATATAGGAAAATAAGTGACGATGAATTACGATTTTTCGGTTGGTAACCCTATAATAGGTCTACGTGCGAGGGATAATATATTGTACCTGACAGCCATTTCGCTTTAGAGTTGTGAAGAACACTTGCTTAATGATTAAATTACTCATCTGTCATTTTCATAAAATGATGTGATTTAAGATATTGTAATGCGTAATTAGACATACACAATTTGGATCCAGTTTCGGAAAAAACTACTTCAATGATTCATTTGGTTCTTGCTAAAAACATTAACTACATTAACTATTCAGTCATTTACAAACTGAACACGGAATCAAATTAAGGAAATAAATATTCAATTCGTTAAGATAAAAGATATGTTTAAATTTGGTTCCAGTTGCTAAAAAACTTAGCTTCGTTAATGATTCATTTAGATCCAGTTACTAAAAAAACTTAAATATACATTAATGATTTAAACCGAACATTTATAAACCGAGAACAGAATCGAATTTAAAGGAAATGAATATTCAATTAATTTAGGATAGAATAAATGCTAAATTTTGGAGACTATTGCAGTTTCCATGGACTTTGTCTTCAAAGGTTTTTAGATTTGATCACCCTCTAATTATGCTGATTTTGGAGACCACAGTTTGTGCTTGCTCTTCATTTACGATTTCGGTTGTGATTACCCTCTAATGATGCTGCTTAGAGACCAGTCTTAGCCATGGTATTTAATTGTAGACCGAACCCTGAGATCACCCCAAATGTTCGGGTCCCGAAGGTGGTCTGAAAGGGCGAATTGTATTATTGTTATTCATATTATTATTGGATATCACATTATCAACTTAAATATGGTTATTGCCAAATCGAGAATTGAATCACTTTATACACCTATAATGCTCTAACATAAATCAAGTATCGTTATAAGTCTTAGAGGGTGAATTTGATTTTTTAATAATTAAAAAATCCTATCGACTGACAAAACATCGATTAACAAAAATGTAGGAGCGGCTTGGCTCACTGGTTGCGGTTCTGCTTCTCTTGAGGTCGTACGTTCAATCCCTCGTTGTGCATTTCTCTTGTGTCTTTAGGCAAAGCACTTTTATTTACTGCGGTTGTCTCTCTCGACCCAGGAGTACAAGTGGGTACCTGGCATAGGATCAAACACACAATGCGCTGATTACAGCTGCAACATTATGGAATTTTCCCCGGGAGCTAAGTATTGTGTTCCATTTGCTTAATCCAATGACTGGGGGTAATAATGTGAAACGCTTAGAGGTTCCATGCGCTCTTTAAGTCCACCATTCAAAAGGGCCCCAGTACATTTGGATTGAAAGGCACGCTTAACCATCCAGCTACTGCTCTAATCCTTCACTATTAACATAACGGATGCAATTTTTCGCTGAAATTAGTTATCATTGGTATTACAAGGTAACTACCCTATTTCTAATTAATAATTTAGTAGTTTAGAATTATCTTGGGAAGATGAGACTGTCTTTCAATTGAAGTATGTTTGGTTAGAGATCCATGCATGTTCAAACTACCAATGACAATTTGGTTTGCGGACGATGAAACATCTTTCAAGTGTTAGTTTTATCAATAAATAATATCGTAATTAATATAATGCGTCTGCTTTCCAATCTATCAGAATATTACCTTAACGACTTCGGAATGTAATAATGGAGATGACAATGTTATCATTAAACTAAGCTGCAGATTTCCCTGGTAATTCAAAATACTCGTAATATTTGTATCTACAAACTTTCTGTCTACCTTATTTTATTATTTATTTTCACTGCTCATTTTGCAGTTATTTAGTTATTATTGTCGTTAATTTAGTATGCAATTGTATTAACGCTTCACTTAATTTTATTTTTAGGTTTATTTTGTAGCATTATAATAACAACAACAGCAAAAATAAGAATAATAATAAGAATAATCATTAATATTTGTATAGTTTGTTTTGTTATAATAATACAAATGATAATAATAATAATAGTAGTATTAATAATAATAATAATAATTATTATATATTATTATTATTGTTATTGTTGTTATTACAATAGAATGTAATATGATTATTCGTTTGAGTCAGGGGTGGCGCCAGGGGGGGGGGCCTGGGGCTATAGCCCCCCGTCGGGGAAGCATAGCCCCCACGTCGGGGAAGACGATAGATTTTGTCGGGGAACAAACAAATTAAAAAAAAAATATTTACATGTAATATTCGTTTAACCACCATATCGTTTGTGTTAACTTTTCATCACAACAACAACCACAATAATAATAATAATAATAATAATAATAATAATAATAATAATAATAATTCAATGAGACTAATTAAAAATAATTTGCGTTATGTTATGACAAATGCTCATTTAGATAGCCTCATGATGGTTGGAATACATCGTGATAGGTGAAGCAACCTCGACCATGACAACGTGGTTGACAGATTTCATACAAAATTTCCAAAATATAGAATTTTACTTTCAAGAATGAGGATTTGAAAATAAATTAGTTGGTTACATAGCATACACTTTGTTTCTTGCTTTATTCAAAATGTTTTGGTTTTGGAAGCTGATGTCAACATTAGAAAGCATAGCCTACATGAAGTCATATTATAGTAACTCGATGCCTATCAAATAAGTAATAAAAATTCGCCATAATTCATCAAATATCCGTGGCCTCCAGGAGGCTTCACCCCCTGGACCCCCAAGTGAGACTCGATTCGCTCCACTAGGCCCCCCGTCGGGGCCTCTAGCCCCTCCGTCGGGCAGGTCCTGGCGCCACCCCTGGTTTGAGTAGGTCAATAATACACATCAATTTTGTAATTTTGTAAACCACCTATTGAATCATAAGTAGACTAAATCCTTACTGAAATCTAGCCAACACAAATCAACTTATATTCGTGAACCTTTATTTCTTCTTTTAGATATGCACCTAATACTTCCGAATTAAAGTTCTTTATCCTTCAAAGGGTTTTTTGGTAGGATTTTGGTCTGGTGCATCTTATGTACAGCATTAATACAACCGCAGGTCCTAGTCTTAACCTCGAGGTCGAGAGGCTTGCTGTTGAAACGTTAAATGAAATCGCGTAAAATACATACAAACACTGATTAACATAGATGGGTGAAGTTACTATGTTAGAGCGTTAATAAGGTCGAAAGATTTATAATAAAAAACATCTATAATTAAGATTAAGATTCTTTTGAATAGTGCTACTATTTGCCTACCATAGGGTTATGTCGAATTCTTTTAGGAAAGTCCATTTCCTCACTAAGCATGTCTTTGTGCACTATCAAGGTCTGTGGTGGACAGAAATAGCTGGGACAAGATATCAATTAAAATGCTAATCGTTGGCATTGTCTAAAAAAAGCCTCCTCCACGACATAGTAACGTAACAAATTGTTGCAATTTTTGCGGTCAGGAGAGGGACAATTAAAGCCGACTTGGACCAATCTTGCCCTAAGCTAATATCTACCACTGCTGTGTACATACGTTGTACTCAACTTCGGAATTATTCTCATAGGCCTACATCTCTACTATCTATCTGATAAAAATCCACCTTCTATGCGCATGCGCCGATATTCTTCTATTTGGAGTTTCTATATGGCAAGATTTCCGATTCCTATATAAAGCCGGCAACCTAAGATGTATTTGGTTTGTGTTCTAATTTCATGATATCGAACACTATCAACACGTATGCGCGTCATTCTAACGCAAGACCTCCGCTCGAGAATATCAACGCTTTTACGGTCGGGCACTGCTATTATTATTTCAACAGGTTGTTCGATGAATCAAGTTTAAATGTCTCTACTTCCACCGTAAGTTGCTGATTATTTTTAAAATTTATTTGGGGTAAATCGAATAAGGAACGTTCTCCTAACATTGGCTGAACCATTTTGGCCTTACACTTAGCAACAGTTTAAGCAACAGTTAAACATATTTTAGTAGTACACATATTTGGCAATTCCTTGGGGAAAATGCGCTTTCATAGATAAGTAGGAATTAGAGTACACTATAAATTGGCCTCATTGCTAGATTGATAGAGATACTGAAAGAAATGGTAATTGAATGGTCTTGGTTTCCAATACCACTGGGGACAAATATATATTTTTTCAATTTTTTTAAAAATTAATTATAGTATATTATCACGGAATTGGGTGTTTTTCCATTCAAATTCAAAATTCAAATTCATTTTTTTCTATTTCTTAAACACAATAATGAAATGTAATGTGATAGGAAAACCCTTAGGAAAACTTGAAATGCTCTTGAAAATGAAAAGGCCTAAAGATGAAGTAGTATAAAATAACAATTAAAGAATTACATAAAATATGGAAAAATGTATACAATAATAAAAATGAAAATACTACTTCGTCTAACGTAATTAAGTTCTTAACTAATTGCAAAGCGGATAGAATCTTGAAATTTTGTTGAAATTGTTTTATTTATATATTATATTATAATTTAAAAATAACCCGCTTTGATATCAAATTAGCAAAGATTCCAAACGAAAAAAAAATATCTCTGTCTTTGATTATAATATTGTAGAAGTTTTGAAGCCTACTATTTTGAGCTTAATTAGTGTATCCATGCTGCTCATTAGTTAATCGTGTATACGTTGTTATTGTGTCGTGTAAGCATAGGTTTTTGTGTGTTATGACTGTTTTGGAAACGAAATGCTTATTAGGCTTCAGTCGTATCTTTATGTCATTAAACATATTTGTTTTATAATAATAATAATAATAATAATAATTATAATAGTAATAATAATAATAATAATTCCTCTTCTTTAGCCCTTACAATTATGTACCGTACATAATACATACCGGTACTAATTACTATATTTACATACTTTGATCCATATATTAGGCCTATATATATACATATGTATAAGTTTATAATATAGTATATATACGTGTAATATTGTATATATGTAAAAGAATTAAAAAGTATACATATACAATTATATATATTTATATATGTAATGAAAAATAAGTATTTATTTTATAAAGGTATAATTATGATACAAACATAATGTATCGTTTTTGTCATAGAATTTATGAAGGTAAACGTCAATTTAAAGAATACGGTACATATTACAGTTTACCCTTACGAAACATGCAGTTAGGATAACTTGTGGTCATAACAACCGGACTTTAAGAAGAGTATTGGCTTGTAATAGGCCAATTGCTAAAGTACTTGCTTGTTGGTTATCTTTACTGCTTCCTATTGGTCCGTTTTATTGATTCTTTGACCCTCACTACTACTAGTTTGTATACTATTTTCCAATTCTAACTTGGTAACGGTGTAAGGCAAAACGTTCGTATGTTTATAGGATAAATTTCGTGGTAAATTTTAACTGTGCTTTCCACATTTTCAAACTAATAGGTGTACATCAAACGTAAATATAGCTGTACTAAGTGAGGCTTTTGTATTATTATTTTATTTTTGTATTACATTCATTTTATAGATTATAAGCCAACATTTTTTTATTTTCATCTACGGTCGCCAATTACAGAGCTGTATATAGTTTCTATGGTGATTCCTTTTTATAAACTCCATTGTAATCTTACCATTTTATTTTCTTGTTTTGATATGTTGATAAATAAGAATCTCAGAATAGATTAAATTTAATGTTTTAAGTTATGAATGTTAATGAAGAAGAATCTTCGAATTCGGAACCTTTTGTCGCCTATGCACACACCTTAGCTAAATAGTCCACTAGATCTTCCTTATATCTGTCTCTTATACACATCTGGCTAGGACTAGTCTTCTAGGCCTAGCTAGAGAGGCCTAGGGCCTAGCCGAGGTCTAGCCAAAATCACTACATTTAAGTTCATTGATAAAATAAAATTCTCATCAGATTGAAGAATAAAAATTTCCTTTTGATTCACTGGCACACCAAACAGACAAAAGTAAACTCACTGAATATTGCTGCCTGGCCAGCGCATAATCGAATGTGGCCGCTGCCATGTTCTTTTTGGAGATTATTTTAATGAAAATCGTCTCCTAAACAACAAAAAAGTACGTTAATTGTATATAGCCTGTCTCTTATACACATCTAGATGTGTATAAGAGACAGCTCCTATACTGTAGTTCTGGTGGTGGAACAAGTCTTCTCGGATAAGGACTATAAACCGTAGGCCCAGTGTACGCAAATGCTCATGTGCACTTTAAAGAACCCAGTACATCTTTCGAGAAATACATACATACACACACATACTAAATGTGGATACAAAATTATACAATATATTATTTTAAAAGGATAAAGCTCAAGGCGAATACTTTGTTCTTTAACATCGTGTTTTTTAAAACTTTTAATTTAGATCTGAAATAAAATCTATACTATATATCTGTACTATATATATATATATTTATTTATAAATCTATTTGTATAATAATATTTAAAATAATTATATATATATATATATAATGTATAGATTGTAACTAACTACTGTATATACTTAACATTTCGCAGTTAAATAATTTAAAATTGACAAAAAAGTAACATGAATATAAATTTGATATATAAAGACCTTTTATTAATTAAAAAATATTACACGGCAATGATGTTTCAGTCAATTCTGCTGAGTATTAAATTTTATATTGATTTGATAGTGACGCTGAATAGTACGACGTGCTACGTGACTCGCACATGAGTGAGCCACGAATCTGTTTAATATTAGTTTAAAAGGGTTCAACCACAGATACTTTATTTGTGTACAGGATTTGTAGCGACAAAGGTGTGTTAATGAGAGAAGTTCTCGACAATTAGATGAGAATATCACGGTGAACCGTTTGTCTAATAGTTTATAAGAAGTTCTCAAAAGACACAATTATGTTAAATAATGAGTATTTACACTCTTGTTGTGTGTCGGGCGTTCCAAAGGAGAAACCATTCTTGCCTCACACCATGCCTGCTCTATCCACGCGTGTTCGATTCAAAGCACGATTTCGCTCACAGTGTATTTACACAGAACAAGGCCCAATGGCCCTCGAGGCGTATTTGTACAACAAACTTACGTACTTTGCCTAAGTAATCATCTCAATAGTTAAGCTAGTTACAAAAGTCTGTATAGTTGTAAAATGTTTGTCAGAATGAATTTCTACAAGGAGCTTCTATAATGTATAGTAACCTGCAAACCATCATGTCTTTACATTTATAATTGTCACTGTAGGTTAATATCTAAAATGATTGTGATAATTTGTCGAGTAGGCCCATTTAGGTTCATCGTGTAATAATGATAGTCTAAACTTAAAGAGATTTAAGGTAGGCCTATATATATTATTGCAACAATAAATCTGCAATACATTTCTCTCTCAAATTCTTTGTTTGCGTTCTGGTAAAATGAAGTGGTCTACCGTTGTACCCATGGGCGTCGATCAGTGGGGGACAGGGACGACACGTCCCCTCACTTTTCAAAGTAGGGGGACATCATATCAATTGTCCCCCACTACTTTTCACCAATATTCTATAGTTAAAACCCTAATTTTCAAAGCGAGTTGAAAGAACAACGACAATTACGAATGACTGTCTTGAATTTTGTCTATATTCACTTGCGCTCTGTTCAATGTGCGGTGGTTATTTCCGGACTAATAGGCCTACTGAGTAAAAACGCATTTCGTAACCATAAACTAATTCCTGCATGATCTCAGTAACCACTCCATCGATTTTATGGATGTATCAGAGGCTAAATTTAGTATGAAAACAATGTACTGTACGTTGTTAAAATTGGAAGAGTGTAAACCTAAAAACATTTTTACGAACTCAAAAGTGCACAATTTCTACTATAAATGATATATTCCTTTTGTATATTATTAAGGCCCGTATATAGGCCTACTAGTGTTCAATAATTTTTGCATACATAGATTCCTGTTTTCCTGATTTCAGAAGAATTGAATTTTATATAGCCGTTATTAAACAATAATTATACAGACTTTGAGACGGATAGGTCTGTCTATTTCGACATATTTAAGTAGTGATACCACAAGTTTACCAACTCCGGTGTTACTTGACGCAATCTCGACATGACATCATGCAGGGGCGGATCCAACATGGGTCATGGGGGACCCGTGTCCCACCTCACCCTACCGTCAGTCCCGCAGAAAAATAAAAAGAGAGAGAAAAAAATTGAGAAGAGTTGAAGGGAGGAAAGAGGAACAAAAAGAAGTGTATCCACGAGCTCAGCGGCGGTCGCAGCAGTGGGCGAAAGGAGAGCTCAATTATTTTACCACTCACTAATTTTGAATTTTCTATTGATTGACGGCGAACACAACGTTACCTTTTCCAACGAATTCATAAACCAGGATGTAAATATAGGTGGAGACCTAAGAGGGGCTTTTTAGCCGCATTAACGGAATGTAGTGTGCCCAGCTAGAACAGCTAACCATGCTCAGTGGCGTAACGCGTATGCGATCTCTTGTGGTGGTCCGGCCCACCTACCCTTAGGGGGTCCCTGTCGTGACTCTACACATAGGCTCCTCGCTATAGCACCCTGATCTAAAAGGGCTTTGAGCCTTTGTTTATACATAACAGCATAATGTCTCTGACATTAACTGTAGGACATATATCATAATAATTCAGTGGGGATGGGGTCGGGAAAAGTCAAAAATTTTGTGGAGACTGCTTTGAAAAAGCATTTTTACCATTTAAGAGTGCCATTTATGAGCATCTAGAGGAGCATATTCTTAAAATTTGTTATAAATTCCGAAGGAAGGGGAGCAGATCTCCCATCGGGAAAAGTCAATAATTTTGTCGAGGAGACTGCATTGAAAAAGCATTTTTAAAGTCTGAGAGTCTCATTTCTGAGCGTTTATAGGGGCATATTCTTAAAATTTGCTCACTTTTCAGCCTCAACCATGGTAGGGCTGAGGTGGGTGTCTTCTACATATTTTCCCCTACCCCTGTCAGAAAATTTCTAGATCCACCCCTGTCATGATAATGATGAATTAAGTAAATCACCTTTTATGCTTGTGAAATTAAAATGCTAACTAATGTTGTTTATGCTTCCTATCTCCTTAATCCTGTTTGATGTTAAGTTAGACGATAGCATTTCCACTCACAGTGTAGTCGCTATACCACTCGCACAAAAGTAAAATTCAAAAAGAGGAGGAAAGGAAAACCTCTTGAATGATTTTAAAAGTACATACAAAGATAAAATTGGAGTGACTTTGTTTAAGTTTATCCATGAAGGAACATGGTTTATCATTTGTTTTTCATGGTTGGAATACGTCACAAGCTAATCAGTAGATAATAAATCATTATTTTTATGAATGTTAGTTTGCACGAAGTATGTAAGCGGGCACGATTATGATTGCCAGGATAAATAAAAAAAAAACAACAACATTATGATGAAGATTTCAGTGGCAGATTCAAGGGGCCTCAGCCGGCCTACCCTCCCTAATTTTTTTTCAAAATTTAAAAGTGGAGAAAAAAGAAAATTATATTAAAATTTAAGTCTGAGAGTGCAATTTCCGGCCAACTGGAGGTACCATAATCATAAATTTTCTTATCTCAGCTCCAACCATGGTAGGGCTGAGGTGGTCTACACTCCATCTGTAAAGGTCCCTTCCTGGGCCCCCTCTATTTGGAATTCCTGGACCCACCACAGTATTTTGAAAATGTAGTGTGGAAATAAATTTTAATTGCATTCCTTAAAATTAATTAGATATAGACGCCAGACTTTCCGGGGGATTTGCCTAGGGCGCATACCGGCCCCCTGTCCCCGTAAAGGGTTGTATCTGCGGCCCAAGACTTTCCTTATTTTGCAATTCGTCTCCCCGCCTCCACCCACTTTTCACAACGAATCGACGCCCTTGATTGTACCCATAATCATAGCCCGGGGAATCCGTGATTTTGAAAGGCCTGATATCTGATGATATTTCAAATCTAAATTTCCATTTGGCCCAGATCAGAATAGAGACTCGGCAACAATCATCCCCTATTCCAACCCGATTTTAAGAGTACATACCTATATTAACGTTTTCGTGTCTTCGATACTGATGTAACACTTAACTAACTTGTGGTGTCTATTGCGTGCCCAATTGAGTGCTTTAATTTACACAATCTTTAATTTAAATGATGCACTTAGCTAGATCATCCAAGATAATTCAAGCTATTTTATTGTAATCTGGAATATGAAACGAAATGTTGCACTTGACAAGCCATCTACGTATAATTATATTATGCTATTTATGCTATATTATTCTATTTATATAGGCATAATTGTGTGATATGATGTGATATGTTAAGGATATTATATTACATTATGTTACCGGTATGCTATATTATATTATGTTATGTTATGTTATATAATGTATATCGTATATGTCAACATAGCCCTATATATCAAAGACAATGTATACCGTATCAGATCGATAGCCTTTTTCAAACCTTATGTACAATCGAGTTGCCGTGATTTTACATTACACACTTTCCTATTTACATTTCAATAATTAATAATGGTTCATTACTTTCTGTTTCCTTTAACATGTTAATATATTATTGATATCAAAAGTGTAACTCTCTATTCATCTGTTAAAATTTTCTTGTTATTGCATTATATTATTTGAGAATCTGCATGTCTTATAACTAAATGGTACAGCACGGTATATTTAAATGTGCATTATGGAATAGTGCTATATTAATGATCAGTTTATCACTATTTACTATTTCAAAGCTTTCTTAATTATTACGTTGTGATGATTTTAATTGTTATTATTATGAATATTTTTGTATTATTATCATTTCCATATAGTAATACGAAAACTTCATGTATCCAAACCTGCAGTAAATCATATCGATATGACAAAACTGGATTTACCCTCGGGTAAGTAGGCATTTATGCATGTTATAAACCCACAAAATAAAAATAATATAGACCTATTTCATGTGAATTATTATTATATTATTTTAGTGTAAACATAAGCTATAGTTAACTCTTTATGTAATACGTAGATAACTGTACTGTTTCTGTGATGAAAGCTGCTGTACATTAATTTTTTATATTGTTTATATGTATTTGAATCATCCTGTAATTGGCTTTACTGTAGCTGTTGGGTGATGCTTGAAATAAAATAAATAAGATTGCAAGACCACATAAACCGATACTATTATTACTAATAATTAAAATAATTAAATAAAATTAGTAATATTTAACCCTTGTTTTTATTTTAGGAATTATCATCAGGCATACTATGTTTGGCGGTAACATTCACCATGGCGTTTTCTGCGATAAGACAGTAATTCCAAAATCTGCCAAATTTGGACCATTTCGTGGGAAAATTGTACATCCTAGCGAAATAAAAACGACGGATGATAACAGCTGTATGTGGGAGGTAAGTTGTAAGTAGCCTAATAAGCCCTTTCTCCTCAGCAGTACACACACGTGAGTTAGTGAGAAGGAGACACATTTTATTCGTAGAGGGTTGTGTCTGAATTATTATCATGATTTATTTAATTTTTTTTTTCAAAACTATTATGGATGATCTCCTAAATTTCGAGTCATCGCCGCATCACGAGTTTCAGCTCTAAGTCGCCTCTCGAGTCAACAAACATTGGTCATTTTTAGACACCCGGATACCTATAATGAAAAACTGTTTTCCAATTCGACTTCACATTGACGCAGAGGGCGGCGTTCCGTGAAATTTAATTTGCGATGTCGTACTCAATGTGGTCACTGCTTGAGATTAAACTCAAGATCTTTGCATTTTTAATGATACCTTTGATCTTGGGATTTTTTTGTTAACTTTTAAATAAATCTTATGATTCTTTGACAGATATGGAATTTTGGAATGTTCAAAATCAAAGACCTATTATAAATTGAGTAGGCTAGTTTTTATTTTTCTTCTGATATAACCATTTTCATCCTTTTCCAAAGTAGGGTGTATTTCATTTTTATGTTAAATCTCCAGTTTTGACCACGGCCAGATACGCTGTTTGCTTTAGACAAGTACGTTATAGGGCTGAACAAGCTGAGCAAGAATATTGCACCTAGATACCAGTAAATCGCACCGTCTCATACTTTGCAAATGCTTTTAGTTTGGCAGTTGAATTCAATCAAATTAATAAAAAATGCTTTACCAGCTTACGCCTCCCGAAAATAGAACAAAATATACACCCTTTTTTCTATAAAAGTGTGATTTTTATATGTTGCTGAAATATTTTCTGTGTAATACAAATAAAATGACGACAATTGCCCTGTCATTTTTATTTATATGATTTTAATTTATATAAGGCACCTTTCCCCCCAACTTCTGATTTTTTTTTATACAGTTTAACTATTACAGTATGAAATTTATTGAAAGAGTCATAAAATTGGAATTTAAAATGTCTATATGTATTTTGCGAATTTTGAGATTTTTAACTTGGGAATTCTAAGACTCAATCTTAGGAATTTTCATTCCAGCCAGTGGTCACGCTGGTCAGTTGACAACTTAAATAAATCCCACTGTCAGATTGTGTCCATTTCTGCTTTCAAAATTGTTTTTTTGAAAATTAAACAAGCTTAAGTACGCCTAGTTTCATGCCTACAACATATTTTCTACGCTAAATTTTAATTTAAAAAATAGTAGGCATTAGGCCTACTGATCTAGGCATATCAATTTAGATACTGAGGATTAAAACAAAGGATGGACTCCATTAACAATAACACGCATGGTTATAATTACGATAGCTTACAATATTTTTAAATGCATTAACCCGTCTTTTTTTAAATATAAATTCAGATATTCATTGAAGGCAAGCTGAGCCACTTCTTGGATGGAAAAGGAAGCGTAGGTTGCTGGATGACTTTAATAAACAGCGCCCGCTATGCACATGAACAAAACCTAGTCGCTGTTCAGGAGGGAAACGAGATCTACTACGAAGCCTGCAAAGACATTTCAAGGGTAGCTAACACTTTTAAATATCAAAATTTTAAAAGAGCAAGTTTGACGTGTGAAAATGATAGAAAAGTTGGGTAGTATTAGAAGAAACATTTGGGCAAATAAATGTATGATTGTTTTGTATATTCATTGATCTTATAAAATCAGGGGCGGATCCAGAAGTTTTGGTTAGTGGGGAGGGGGGCTTTAGGTATATGTGTACCTCCAAGTGTCTGCGGAAGCTGTTGGGAGGAGGTGTCTCCGTCCGATAAGAAGGGGTTCAGAGGGGTAGCTGAACACTTTAGCTATTATATGTATGTATGTATGTGTGTGGGTGTGTGTGTGTGGGTGTGTGTGTGTGTGTGTGTGTGTG